AGCACCAGTGTGTTTTGCTGGTGCCTAGAGCCGGCCCTGGCCTTCACTAGCAGTGACCAAGTACTAATTTTGCCCCAGATCCCTAAGTGGCCCCCTCAAGGATTGAACTCACAACCCTGGGTTTAGCAGGCCAATGCTCAAACCACTGAGCTATCCTCCCCCCATCATTCAATGTAACTACACCTAACACAGTGAATGCAGCTGGATTACATGCAGATAATTCCCAGTGGTTAACTCTATTTCCTGGTTTTCACAAGTTTGAGTTTTCTTGCACTTAATAAGATACTGGAAGGGCAATCTTAACTGCGTTAAAGAAGTTTTTGCCATTTAAGAGAGTGAAGTATTGTCCTAATTTATTAAACCAGAAAGCAAAGCAGATTATAAACAGAAATGAAACTGTTGCCATTACCCAACTGAATGAAATGTAAAAAGTAAACAAACAGTATAAATAGTGAAAAGTAAATCGAAATAAGTAAAAATTAGACTTGTAAAACTCTTACTCTTTGAATAGGCTGATGAATTTAGTAACAGAAGTAAAGGAACTTTTTTCAAATATGATCTTTAAGCTGTTCCTTTAAAATGCAACTTTTTTCTTAGTATTTCATGAAACATTTTTGTTTTCAATTATAAATTTCCATAAAGAAAACTATGCAGACTTTTAGGAACTACGACTTGTAAATTAACTATATGTAATGGTAGACATTCGCAAGAGGAAAATGTCACAAGCAAATGTCAATGAAAACCTAATGCTGACTTCTTTATTTTTTTCAGCTGCAGTGCATAAGATTTCCAAAAAAGTAGATATGGATGTATTTAGCAAAAGGATGGAGATCATGCTTCAGTAAGTTGGCTTGTCATATTATTAATAACTGAAAATGGTCAGTTAGAAACATTATTTGTTTGCCATGCAAATGTGGTGATTTTAGCATAATATATATGGTCACCAAATATATGGCCTTTAAAGAAACAAAGTTCTCTCCTACATTTTGCCCATTTCGTTGTTTGCATGTACTGTAATTCAAAACAGCTGCAGAGGTTTATATCAGTTTCATTTCTGTGAATCTCAATAATTAAGTAAACCAAAGGATAAAAGGTAATAAATCCTGCAATATCCTAACAGACTGTTTCAGGATATTTTTTTCTGATCATTTAAATTTTTTGAACCAACGGCGTGATATTTATTTGTTTTAGAGATGCTGAGGATCTGTGTTTCCCATTGACTTCAATGAGAGCTGTAGGTACTCAGAACCCCTGAAAATCAAGCCATCACTGTCACAGTTTCAGGGTAACTGCACCTATATTCCCCCTTCGGTGGTCCATTTCAGGACTGCCCAGACAGGTCTCAAGTCTCCCGCTGTTGCCTGTCTCTGGGCAGGGGGACACTTGTCCTACTCCCTTCTGATTGGGGTTTTAAGGCTCCACAGTGCCCTGCTTGACATTGATATCCGCAGCAAGCCAGTCTGCCTAAAGGTATTGCCAGCAGTTACAAATTAGCACACGGCTCTTTCTGAGTTAGCATGTTTATTCTTAAGCTAAAAACGTTAGAGAAAAACCTATCAAAACAATACAAGTTCTTATACACATGCTAAAAACTTACCAGAAGTCACCCATCCGTCTTTCCAACCCTTTCGGAAGGGTTGGGGCCTCCTTGGACAGAAGGTCCTGTCTGTTTGCTGGATCTGAAGAAGGCCTTGGTCAGTTTAAATGCAGCCTTTTTCTGTGAAAAGTTCTTTCTTTGCCTGTTGGTCTCTGGGAAACCTATTGTGAACCACTATATGCAAGACTCCCCAGGGGGTGGGACCATTTGGGGGTATTTACAACTTGAGTAATTCCTGAAGGAGTTGTGATAACCCTCGCACTGGAGTTGCATACAATACTTGGTCCACAGTGATGCAATATGGTCCCCAAAGATATTGCATGGAATTGCAATATCCATCACAATCCCTTCTTACTAACATACTGTATTTTGAAATCCTATAATATCTATATTTTTGGTAGACTTGCCTTGACATTTGTTCCCTGTTCCATAGAAGCTTGGGGCGGGGAGGAGAAGGGGAAGCTGCACTTGCTGAAGTCAGTGGGACTTTTGGCCCTTACTTACTAACAGATTTTTTTCAGTAAAATCCTTAACGTTGTTTAAATATCCACTTTAATAACAACTGAGGTTAGTATTTGTCATCTATAATTGTAAAGTTAAGTAACCCAGTCAGTGACTGAAACCAGATACCATGCTAACAGAATCTGTCTGGAATCCAAAGATAATTTAAAAAAAAAAAGAAAAAGAAAAACTTGTTTGCTATTTAGCTATGTTTTTACAATTATAGGCCTTTCTTTTAGGGACATGTTTGGAGAGGACTGTGTTAGTGCAAAAGATGGCTCTGTTCTAAGTGTCACAGTGGATGGAAAGACTGCAAATATTTCATTGGACACACGGGTATGTATAGTTAAATTCATTGATATTATTTGAATTGCGCTATAGGAGCGAATAGGCAAAAAAAGACAAAATATCTGTCTCATGGAGCTCTAAAGTCTGATGTGTAATGGTAATGTTCCCATGAATATTGTGTACCACTTGCTATGGGACATATTTTGATACGCAGCATCACAACAGACGAATCCTATTCAGAAATCTTTCAGGGAAAAAACTAACATCTGATTCTTCTGCTTTTGAAAGAGAAACTTTCAATATTTTTCTTTGTAGCAACCGTACTTGCTATAAGTAAAATTACAATTAAATAAAAATGTATAAAAACAGATGGTAGAGATAGAATAACTGATATAATTTACTGATTTAGAACTTTTAGACTCTTAAAATATAGTCTCCAGTCTAAATAAAGGCAAACAATCATCCAGTAGAAAATGTGCCAAGCAAAGCAGATTTGCCCATCTTGATCCTTGAGTCACTAAATCCAAAATCAGCGATGCCCACAGAGAGAGTGAAATATCTTGTCTATTTATCAGTTAGATTAAGAGGTAAAGCTGAAATGTATTGTAACTTGGTTTTAGGAAGATGATGTACATCTGATGATTAGAACAACGTTGTGGTGAAATAAATGGTTAATATCCTCCAGTATTGTAAGCTAGTGGTCCCCCGACATGGATTAGGACCCCATTGTACTAGGTGATGTACAAACACAGAACAAAAAGATGGTCCCTGCCCCAGATTGTTTAGACCATGTGGAAGAGGGAAGAGATAAAAGTACCAGAAGCCTAGAGAGAAACTTTTACTGCTTAATCAAAATATATTTAAGTATTGTATTTTATATAATTTATACTGGTGTACACACCACTGACTTCATACCAGGCCAGGTGTACTCTAGAAACTTTTGCCAATATAGTAATGTTGGTGAGAGATGTGATTTCTCTCATCCCCCTCCCCCCCCCCCATTTCTATATTGGCAAAAGCCCTAGTGTCGACACAGTTATGTTGGCATAAAAGTCCTTTTGACGTTATATCTTATTTCATGCATTGAACCAGTATAAGCTATGCCAGCCAAAGCACTCTTTTGCCAGTATAAGTTACATCTACACTAGGAGGATTTGCCAGTATAGTTATATACTCTACGTAGTCTCTCCTTTCTCCTGAACTAAAAGTGCCTGAGTGATTCACCTTAATCAGCACTAAGAAACCATAAAGAAATGGATAATTGCCAAAAGCTTCTATTTTAAAAAGCAGGTATTTAACAAAAAAGAAAAACACTAAATGTTACATAGGGTTGGGTTCAGATTTGTGCACAATGGATCATAGCATTTGGTTTTTGCATCTTGGCTTAGTGGAGCACAGGGATGTTGCTCGGCAGATGGGTTTTGGTTCAAGGTTACACTTTGCTGCAGAAGAGGGATCATCCAAGCATCATTTTCATCTGCTTTTAAGGTGGAGCTTTTGTTCGACCTCCTGGCTGGGATGCCTGTCCAGAAAGGAGACAAGTTAAGAGTAGAAGGGAGTAAATAGTGTCTTTCAGACTAAAAGAGCCACAAGACCCACCAAAAATATTTGTTAGTTACATGAGTCAAAGAGCTACTGCTGTCAATGGGCTTCTCTACGTGGGTGAATTGGCAAGTTTCAAGTATACATAGATGTTTTGCCTCTCAATAAAAAAATGAATTGCTTTAATGAGTAAAAGAGGCAATGGATTTTATTTTGAAATAAACTTTATTTTCTGAATGCCCAGGTGACCATGAGTGGGTTAAAATTGAATTATTTACAGCAGAGGTGTTGATTGGCACTCTATATTGTTTCCAAGCTTCTACCTAAAATAACTTAGTACAGTGCAGATGAGGTCACAGATTAAGTTAAAAACTTTGGGGTGCCACTTGGACTCAGACTTGATTTTGAACCAAAACTAGTTCACAAAACTAGACTTACTATTCAATAATTCCAAAATTAATGACTAATCAAGCACAAACTTTTATCTAGTTTTGTTGTTTCTCAGCAAGACTGATGTAAATCTTTTGCTGAACTATCTTATGTGTAGCCAAACTGCTTAAAAGACTGCAATGCAGCTGAAATCTCTTGATAATTTTCCTTACAATTTGCTTCACCACTGTAGGAAATGTTTTATTGCTGCTTAGACTGTTACCTACTATTCCTTCTCCTAATTGGCTTTACTTAGAATTTTTTTTAAAAAAGGTAAATTTACAGGACTGTTTGATTCTGACTCCTTGATTACACACATCTCTTCCTCCAGACTGCTGAATGTGAGCCAGGAAATGAAGATGATGAATCCCTTCGGGAAATGGTGGAGTTGGCTGCACAGAGACTCTATGATGCCCTCAGCCCAGTCCGTTGACCTGACTGACCAGTATATATATAGGAAACACAAGAACAATCTTTTAAATACTTGATTCATTTTCACCATTTTCATAAAAAAATAAATAAAACTTGCCTTTAGCAAGCCATATGTACTTATTTCCTGACCACAAAACTGCTTAGTTCTCATTACAAATAACAGATGGGCAATCTGTTATAGCAACTCCATTTTGTGTAATGTACATAATGAGTTAATATATGTACATATGAACCCATTAATGGGACACATGCACATAAGAGGAGACATTTCTTACCCTGATATGATGTAGTAGACAACCTAAAATGATGATAAAAAATAAATGGGAGGAATCTTATATTTTCAAGGTCTGCTGACTCGTTGGAGGAGGAGTTGGGTTTTCTGCTCCCCTATATATTTATATATATAAGATTTTATACAGAGTTGTCTTTTTATTTTTTCTTGCTGTTTTTATGGTAATAGTATAGTGACTGATAAACGCACCTCTTGCAGTCATCTGTACTAAATTATCACTTACCCTTAAAATGAGAAAGTAAGGTGAAGATCTGAATAGTAAATGCTTTCTGAACTAATATGAGAAATCACAATAGATTCCACACAAACCAAGAATAACTAACTTTCAGAAGTGTTGAGCATCCACAGCCCCTGTTGATTTCAGCTGGAGTTGTGTGGTTACCTGGAACTTCTACAAGTCAGACCTTTAGGCCCCAATTCAGTAAAGCACTTAAGTATGTACTTGATTCTGATAGATGTGTTAAGACAATGCTTAAGTGCTTACCAGAATTAGAGCCTTGAAGACTACATGGTGGAAGCAATTAAACTGACTATAAGGAAGAGGCTGTCAAATATACAAACTAACTATGAGAGAGATCATTTTAGCCTATCAATATCCATTACAGTGTTAATATTGGCCCAGTTCGCTGCATGTGGGCACACCAGTGTGCCAGCACAGAGCCCCATTCAAGTCAGTATAACTGTAGATACAGAGTTGCACCTCTGCACAGTGGGTTGTGGGACTGGAGGCCTAAAGTAGGGGAACAAAATCCCTATAGAAATGTGATTTTTAAATCACACTGAAAAATGTTAAGGGAAAGTGTGGGGTTCCTAACAGAAGAATATAAAGGTATCTTTGCATCATTCACAAGAAACTTGCTTCTTTTTTTTTTCTGAGTTGGTTAAAGTGGCATCAGATAACTCTCAGTAGTAATATCAACGAAGAACATTTATGTGTTAGTGTCTCTCTCAAAATAATTGGTTGTCACCAACTAATTATATAAGGATAAAAAATTATTCATAAAGAAATACTGATAAATGCAGTTAGCATTTTTTTTTTAAAAAGAAAACCTCTCTGTGAAATGTTCTTGTTTTTAAAATGATACTGTCAAAGATTTCAGATGCAACATCTGTTTTGCGTTAAAATGTTTATAATCTGGTGGGAAATATCCTCTAATCTATTTTTACACTCTCTTTTACTGTCTATAATTTTTCTATAGTGCCCATCACTGTAGTATTAGAGTCATGGAGAATTTTTTTAATATAGCCTCTGTGACAGTGTTAATATTGTTTGGCTACTGCAAAGTGAGCAAAAAGTTAATTATTCCCAAGAGCTATGTTGACTGCATGAATAACGTTTCTATCTTAAGCAGCAAATACAAGGGTTTGAGTCATGCCGGTTTGTTTCATAAAAACTTCAAGAGGAAATCACAGTTTATTCAGTGGAAAAGAGGAGAATCATCTCTGGGTAGAATGATGTTTTCATGAACAAAAGAAATTAAAAATGGTCTAAAGTATCTGAAATTGTCCTTTTGTATTTAATCATTTGTTTAAGTCGTTCAGTATATTGGTTTTCAAACTGGTTCATGGAATGCTTCCTGGTGGTTAGCACAGCTGCTTCTGCCGCATTGGAAAAACATTTCTCAATCTTCAAGTAGTAACATTTCCTGCAAATTGTGGTCATTTCTAAGACCCCCTTAGGATTTCCCGAGAAGAGAGACTTTATTTCCTCTCCCATAGCAAAGGACTTTTAATAAAAATAAACAGCTGAGATCCAAAATGGTCTGGGGATGTAACTAAGCAACTTCCTACCAACTCATTGCATTAAACAGGTTATTTTTAGTGGTAGGCACGGAAAGATTAAGTGATATTTTGCCTGAGTTTGAGTCACTGTTTGAATCTGGCAAATTCTGGGGTCGTTCTATAATCTGTATAATACAGGACATCAAAGTAGATGTCACAACAGTCCCTTCAGGCCTTGGAATCTGAATATCAAGAACCTTGTCTGTATAGGTGAGTATATGTTGTTTCAGCTGTGCATCCCTAAATTTGTAAGCCCTCAACAAGAAGGATTTGCACAAGCATTCATCAGGGATGTGGCTCTCCCCCAGCAGGAAAAGGTATCTGCTATGGGCTATCAGCTGGAGGATGAGGCCATCGCAGCTTGTGCAGGGCTTAAACCCTTAGATTTAGAGTCTGCCATTGTGGCTGGTGCCTCACTCTGATGTGCAGGGTGGAGAATCTCCTGTTTTTTTCCGAAACAGCCACATTACAGAATTAATCAAAGATAAAAGGGTAAGGCAAAGAGGTATATCTTAAACTATTTAGAAAAGATGAGTTTGCAGCCAAGAGAGAGAGAGCTGGTTCGACGTGTACTAGATTCACTCTTGCTGTCATGGGCACTAATAAGGAGGGTCTTAGCTGAGCCACCCTTTATGCCTTCGCACAGAAGCATAAGGAGGCACAGGGTGGATGCATGGCCTCAATGTACACTGCTATTCAAAATAATGTATCAATGTGTTTATTTTTCCTATCAGAATTGGGCTGCATGCCCAAAGTACTGTTCAATATTTTCACTAATGACTTGGATAATGGGGTGGAGAATATACTTATAAAAGTGGCAATGGACACCAAACAGGGAAGGGTTGAAAGCATGTTCCAGGACAGGATTAGAATTAAAAAGACTTTGACAAATTAGAGAACCACTCTGAATTAAACAAGATGAAATTCAATAAAGACAACTGCAAAGTACTACATTTAGGAAGAAAAAATCAAATGCACACTAATAAATGGGGACTAACTGGCCAGGCAGCAGTATTGTTGAAAAGGATGTGGGGGTTATAGTGGATCACAAATTGAACATGTCAACAATGTGATGAAGTTGCAAAAAAGACCAATACCATGTGTGGCAAGTTCATTAACAGGATTGTTGTACGTAAGACTCTGCAGGAAACTGTCCTGCACTACTCAGCACTGGTGAGATCTCAAGTGCACCACTGAGTCTTCAAGTATGTTAAAGGCTGTTATAAAGAAGGTAGTGATCAATTGTTCTCCATGCCTACGGAAGATAGGACAAGAAATAATGGGCTTAACCTACAGGAACAGAGATTTAGGTTGGCTATTAGGAAAAACTTTATAACTGTAAGGGTAGTTAAGCTCTGCAATAGGTTTCCAAGGGAGGTTGTGACATGTCCCTTATGGGAGGATTTTTAGGAACAAGTTAGACAAACACCTGTCAGGGACATGTGGTCACCCTAGTCTAGGTTTACATGGTACGGCGACAGTGGAGGGGGCTAGACTTGATGACTGCAAGGTCTCTTGCACTCCTACATTTCAGTAATTCTGTATTATGCAAACTCTTCCCTGAAAGGTTTATAAATCTAAAACCCCAACCCTGTCACAGATAAACAGAGCATCGACTGGGTAGCCCCGGGCAGTGCAATAGGCAGTGGAAAGGGCTCATGAGCATTGTTTCCCCTGTGGCTGCAAACGCCAAACACACACGGGGAAGCCCGGAGCAAGGGCCAGCTCTAGGCATTCTCTCACTGGGTGCAATCAAGGTGCCTGGGGTTTTGCCAGCGGGACCGGCGCGGAGCAGCTGCTGCTCTGGCAATGCACCCAGCCCTGGGCGGGGCAGGCAGGGGCGCTGCCTGGGCTCACCTGAGGCGCACTGGGGGGGGGGGCTTGGCCATGGGGGCTCTGGCCGGAGGGTGTTGGGTGGGTCCCGGGATTAGCTGCGCCCCACAGCGGCTGCCCAGGCTGCACCTCGGGGGAGGGGGTGGCGGGAGTCTGCCCCCGGTGGCTCCAGGCTAGGCCCAGCGCCGGCTAGCGGCCCCCCGGGCGCGCTGTGAGAGGCCGGGGCGCCGCCAAGGCGGGCGATACGGGCGCGCGAGGGCGGTGAGGGCCGCCGGGCGCAGCGGAGGGCGGGGCCGGGGGCGGATGTCCGGCTGGCTCCCGCCTGTGGCAGCGGCAGGCGGCGGGATGGCGCTGTCGGAGGCGGCGCTGCGCAGCCAGCTGGTGTCCTGGCCCCGCATCGTGCTGTTCGGGGACTCCATCACCGAGGTACCGGGGCTGGCGGCCTCCCCCGCCCGTTCCCGCCGCGCCGGCCAGGGCAGCGCTCGGAGGCTGCCGGGCCCGCTCCGCTGTGGGGCTCCCCGTGGCGCTGACCCGCCGCAGCCTCAAGGGAGCCAGTGCCCCTCGCCCCAGCTCCGTGGCCTGTAATCCGTAGCGCCCTTACACATCTGTGTCCACACACACAATGACCCAATACACCCCCACACCCCCAATGGCTCCCTGCACCCCGGGTCCAAACACACAGTGGCCCCATACAGCTGGTGCCCCCATGTCCCATGCAACCACCCCAAACACCCAGTGGCCCTGTGCACCTCTTGTCCATGTCCCATACCCCCCCCACACACACACCCCTCATGTCCATGTCCCACATCTAATGGCCCATACACCTCATAGTCATTTCCCATAGATGCTCCCCCCACCCCCACAATGGCCCATATATGGCCCCATACATCTACTGGCTCCATGGATGCCAGGGTTGTATAATTTTTGTTGGTTCCCAGGATGGGTCCAAGCAGCGTCAGCCCATCCATCAGACAGACCAGGCAACCGCCCCACAATTTGGGGGGCCCTGCGCTTTGGGGGGGTTGGGCCTGGCAAGCAACCCAGCCCATCCCAACTGTGAAAAAAACAGGACAAGGACAAGGGGTGGGGGGTAATAGCACCTATATAAGAAAAAGTCCCAAAAAACAGGACTGTCCCTATAAAAATGGGACATCGGGTCACCCTAGGCGGGGGCTTGGAGGAAGGGATAGAATGG